TACCATAAAAACTTTGTTTTATTCCACAAATAAAATATAAAACTAATTTGTTTTCAGTCATATAACTGAAGTTCCTCCTCAGGCTTGAATAAAACAAACTTGTTGTCAGGAATCTGATCTGTTGCGTCTGAACAGATTTTATTTTTTCAGACGTTTGAACAAAAGCAGAAATCATCTTCAAAGTTCACTAAACTCAACATCCATCATTTCAAAAATAACTCCTGACTGGATATTTGATCAAATTACCAGATATATTAATGAAATTATGGGTATATTTATACATGTATGAGTTATGGCTATTCATTCACAAAATGTGGATTTAATTCTGAAAGTGGTTTCTGCTCCAGTCACAGCAGGAGGTCCAGTACAGAGGAACCTCCTGCATGTCAGGCTGCAGGAGGCTCATTTTTATAAATATACATTAAATGTTACTTTTCTCCTGAGTGTCGATGCATGTAGGTCAAAAAGCTAAATGCTATCATGACAGTGTGTTTAAAAACTGTTCAACAGTAGAAGCAGCTTCTGGTCATAATGATAGAAATGAAACTGAAGGTTTAACTCACAGGTTGGACGAATAAACTTCTGGCTGCTGTGGCGCCGCTCGGTCCAGAGATCATGATCTGTGGTAGAAATACAGCCCTAGAAGTCACTCAGCTATGATTATACTGAAGAAACATCATCTAAAAACACATGAAATCAACATAAATATACTCCATCGTTTGTGTAACATGTATGTGATAATATGGTGGTGAGAAAAGATCAGCAGGTTGTTTGGATTTCTGATAAAATGTTTTGTGTTTAAAACAGAAACAGTTTAAGATAAAAGTTGCTCCTAAATGTGATTAAAGAACAAACTTATATTTACTTCCATAAAATTTAGTTATGAAACTGAAGTTGTTACAGAGAGGAGCTTAATTAGAAAGTTAAAGTTCAGCAAAACTTTCTTCATTTTTTAAAATGTTTTTATTGTCCTTATAATTGTTGTGAAGTTATTTCATAGTTCTCTGTTTTAAATTAGAAAAGTAAAATAATTATTCCCTTCACCTTTAAATTGTAGTAACAAAAAATAAAAATCTTAAATAAACTGAGACACCAGGTAGACGAAATCAGCCAATCAGAGAAGACGTCTTATTGCTGCTACTTGGGCTTGTTGCCCCTCCCCAATAGGAAACTGGCCCCTCCTCCTGGGAAAGGCAGGGCAGCCATTTTTATTCAACATGTTGGAATGATGAAAACAACTCAGTGTGAATGCTGCAGGCGTTCACACCGTAAATGTCACGATGCTTCTTCTCCTGCATACTTTGTGCTATTTTCACCATTCAACTTTTATAGTATTCAGCTTGCTCTCCTAATGCCGTCTACATCTCTTATAACCTTCATATTTTTTATAATATTCAGCTTTTTATGAATTTTTCACCCCATAGAAATGGGGGAACCAGCTGCATCCTGTGGCAGAAATGAGAATCACAATATAAAACGTCTGTTGTGTTTCACAGCTCATGTCTCAGACACTTTGCCATTTTCACCAAAAGCATTCAGGATGAGCATTCAGCATTCACACATGGATTTTCATAGGAAATGCACAGTTTCCAGTCATGAATTGTGATGCAGTGAGAGCTCTGGAGGATCCGGCTGCACAATGTCCAAGGAGGTTAATGGCTGCAATAAGTGAGTTGCTGCTGTTTCCACACAGGGGTGAAAAATGTTTCCAGTTAAGTTTGTGAAGTGCACAAATTATACAGCTAAAAAATACTTCATCCTAATGCAAAAACCTTTTTATTATTGCTTTTAATTGGTGTGTTTCTATTAAGCAATTATTCTTAATTCGAATTTTCACAATATTATGTTAAATGGAAATACAACGTCACACGTTACTTTCTTCGTTTTGTTCCTGATGGTCCATTAAAAACTTTGGATCAATCTGGAAGGTTTTCTGACCAAATCAGAGCAGATTTATTCACTTGTTACTTTACGACATTCACATCATAAAGTCCATCACTGCATTTCCAGACGGAGGGATCTGACCTGCCGTCGTTGCCTTGGCGGCGTCTCCATGGCTGCTGGGTTCTGGTTTCTGGTTGGTCCTGTGGGTTAGCCAAGATGGCTGCTGCCCTTTCCTATCAAAGGCTGCAAAACCATAAAAGTATCTTTAGATGGTGTTGGAACATTTTTATATACGGCAAGCAGAGAAGTTATTCTGCTGTTCTCTGTAAAACGTGGAGCACGTTTATCCTTCTCCTCACTGAGGGGGTTGACTGCCCCACATGTTCTGTTTCCAAGTTGCTGTCCCATTTAACTAATAATCAGGGAACCACTTGTTGTTTTGCTCAATAGTAGTAGTTGATGGCAGCTGAAGAAGTAATTTTCTCAGATGTGTTGGAACAGGGAAACTGCAGGAGTGAGAAATGAAGTTTGAGATCCTTGCTGTAAATAAATCACTTTGTTTGCAGGAGCTAATAGTTCCTGTTTGTGATTTATGATTCTACTGTCATTTAGTATTTTAACATTTTCCCTCATTTTGGTTTTGTTCTCTAAATGTTCACTTTACTATCAAATATTAAACATGAGGAGCGAAGGTCAAACCAAACAACACCTGGGTCACCGCCTGCAGGTACAAAATGTCGATCTGGCTTGTAAAATCTAAACACAATCAGTAGAAAATCTATCTATGGTCATAGCAGCATTTAGTACGTTATTTTTCCAATTACCAAAATTACAAAGGTCCAAAAAGGCAAAGAGGGAACCTGAGCAGCATCCAACCACAGATGGGACAGAATCTATGGTTGTCATTCATCTGTTTCCTCCTAGTTGGGTTTTTAACTGACTGTGTGGCTTTAATTCAGTTAATGAGGCTGGACTGATGTCATCAAGTTTATTTATGCAGCACTTTAAAAAAAGGTTTAAACTGCAACAATGTTGTACAAATACAATAACACAATGGAAAAAATTGGCTGAGAAAATAAAAGTAAAACATCACAACAGGATCAGGCCTCAATTAAATGTTATTTTACACTTTATTACTGACCAGAAATCTCACCTTGCCACCATGACATTATATTTCTAACGCTGCCGCCGAGGTCTGGTTTATTAGACTCAGTAACATCAGGGGGGGCTTGTGGCTGCCGGCCTGGAAGACCAACAAAAGTCTGTTTAGGTCAGAACATTTTTATCACACAGAGTCCATCATGTAACAGGACAGTTCATTTCAGGGTTAATGCTGCTGCAGGGCCACACAATAAAGAGCATCATTTCATTAGTGTCATTATTTACAGAATAATATCATTATTTACAAAATAATATCATTATTTACAGAATAATATCATTATTTACAGAACAATATCATTATTTACAGAATAATAATTATTTACAAAATAATATCATTATTTACAGAATAATATCATTATTTACAGAATAATATCATTATTTACAGAATAATGATACTGGATGAAGAAAATCTGGACCAGATGCAGAAGGAACAGAAAAGACTTAAATATACCAGAATATAGTCAAAGTTATTTTTAATCAATTAATTATGTTTAATTATAATTTATCTTTGGTTAATCATTGTGTTTGACTCAGTAGAGAGTCACTAATTATCCATTATTTTCATTAATCTATCCACAAATGTTTCAAATAATTAACTATTCTAAAGAACTAAATAATTGTTTTTTCAGATTATGAGTCACATGACTGCATCTCCTCCAGCATGAAGGAAATAAAGTTATAATGTATCTATTTACCAATAAAAACCCTGAATATTCAGAATGATGAGACTGAACTGAAAATTAAAAACACAAAATATTAAACTCACAGTTTTGGCGTTTGAAGTTGTCCCGCTCTGCTGTGACATCATCATCTACAATAAAAATACAGCAGATTTCTGTAACTTATAACATTATAAATAACATTTAAATAACTGAGCAAAACCAACAAACTAAATATAATTTGTGTAAATGTGGTGAAAATATGACATTTACTGATGAATAAAGTTTTACCAGATTCATAATCTGATTGTGACACGTTGTACAGATCTGGTTCATCTGAAAGAAAAGCCAGATTTCATTTTTTCACTTACATATGAAACTTTTGTCAACAAAAACAAAGAGATTAGTGGAATAATATCTGGATTACTGCACTTTAAAACTTAAAACAGTAAATGTTAAATAAAACAGTAAATGTCTTTAATTTGTGTTTCATTTGATCAGATCCAGAGAAGCTGAAGGTTCTTCAGACGCTCAGCTCTGACTGGCTGCTCTCTGCAAACTTTCTCTCCTCATGGAGGGGAAAAACTAGGAGGAGAAACTGCATCAGTCCATCATTTCACAACAGATCATGAAGCATTTAAATCTTCTGAACGCCAACCTGCTCTGAGGATTTGTTGGGTTACTGAGTTTGGTTCTGGTTCGGTTCTGGTTCTGTTCAGTATATTTGTTTGCAGTGTTTTCTTCTTTTATTTTTGTGTTAAATTAAAATTAAAAGTGTGATTAAAATATTACACAAATTAGGCATGTATGTTTTTGTAATAATGTTCCTGTTTTTGTCTCTGTGTGAATAAATAATGTCCAACATGTCAGTGACATGTTAAACAGAGAGAAGCGTCACGGTACCAGTTTACAGCAGATCATGTTTGAACTGCAGTTCCTGGACAGGATGATGTCATCAAACATGATTTAACAGATTATGAAATGGTCAAAAGTTTGTTTTGTTACGGTTAGGGTTACTTTATTTGCCTTCATCAATAATCCTAATTCTACATCCATATTTTTGACAAATGTCAAACATGTAATAACCAGAACATGTAATAACCAGAACATGTAATAACCAGAACATGTAATAACCAGAACATGTAATAATGTCATTTGGTACGTCCAGAGGATCCAAGGCTCATTTCAGAAGATGTGCAAAGAGTCTTTAAAAATTCAGCACAGGATGCAGAGCAGAAGAAAAAGAGTCGCCTTCACCGAGAGCAGGATGAGGGAAGCTTCAGTCAGAGATCCAAGAATGTATTTAAAATGAACTGAGCAAAACTTTTAAAACTTTCTGAGATTTCAGGTAGAGTTAACCTCCTGACTACCAGTAGTTCATTTTTGTCCTCTGTAGAGGACATTTCTAAACTTGAATATCTCCCACCCCCTGCATTCTACTGAATTAATTCCTTTTGGTATCTGGAGAGGACATTTAGGGCTTTTCAATGATGCCACATGTGAAGGGGTGGGACTTTTGTACGTATCTTTTTCTAATTCATAAAAATTGTGTTCATCAGTAATAACACATTTTATGGGAAGAGACAAAGTAAGTGCATAAAACCTTTTATTATCTTACAAAGACGGTGGGATTTAAAAAAATGGTGACTGGACAATATTTTTTTTCTGGTAGTCAGTTGAATTCAAACCTAAATAGGTAAGTAAATTCCTTTCCATTTTTAATTTTCCTCCCATTTACATATCTGGATAATCGTCTGCATACATAATAATATTAGTGTCACTCTCTCTCCCCTCCCTCCCTCCTTTGGTTCAGCCTTTTTGTTGTTTTACAAGCTCTAATTCCAGGATGTTGATTTTATATCAAACCTGCAGCTCAAAGTCTGGTTATAACAGTAAAACAATAAAACTGATTTTATTTTGTTACCATGTCAGGTGAAGGTCCAACACTTTAGTGTTAGATTATATCAGGCTTTAAAACTTGTAACCAATCAAAAAGGTGAAATCTATTTACAGTCAGACATGTTAAGTATTAACATGTTTGTGTGTCAGAACTGTTTTCTGTGGAGAATCTGAAACAAACAGATCATTTCCACACATGGAGCCATTTAAAGGATTTAATAAGAGAATATGAACAGTGATGATAGTGGCTGCAGTTGCTGGTTCGATTCCCGCTCTGCTTGTCGTTGGGCCTCATTAGAGTAAATGACCCCAAGTTAAGCTCAGGGTCATAATAAACCCTAAACCCTGTCATCAACAGTGTGTGAACGTGTGAATGAGTGAATGTAATGTGAAGAGTTATTAAGTCTACAAACCATTTACCATGAACAAATGAAGAGAAAAGTTAAAACCTGCTGCTTGTAGATGAAAGAAGAGATAAAATAAAAATAACAGCATAAATTATGTTATTGGTGATAATTAATGATATAATTATTACATCATTACAGAAAGTTTATTTATTATCAGTCTTAGATTAACTCACGTGGCGATGAAGAGGCCATGGTGACAGAACCCAGACCACAATCCGTTACCCTAAAATAAAACAAACATCTGAAGGATTTCAGCAGCAAAATGTTACAAATCCAGATTTAAACTTTTTTCTACACAACATAAAAACAACACTGAAAATCAGGATGCAGTTTAAAGGTTATTACAGCATGAATCTAACTTGGCAGCCTAATAATTTATGATGAAATCATATTTTTCTTTGTGCCAAAGAACATGAAGTAAATTAATAAAATAAATACCAAACATTAAACAAATATATTCACATATCTAATAATATGATGTGGAATTAAAGATAAATTAATTTCTTTATGAACAGAATCAAAGCCAAATGTCACTCTAATATTTTCAGGGTTAATAAAAGTTTGATGAATTAATTTGGAGACAACAAACTGTTTATCATCTCATTACTGTAAATCTATTCATAAGAAATATGAAAAAGAAACTTGTTCAGTTAATGTTGGAGCCATTATTTATGTCCTGATCCAACCTGACATTGAAGTAGCAACAGAGCAGGATGAGAATCTAATGATGAACCAAACCTGCAGAAACTGACAGGTTTGTTTTTATCATCCTGATGATCAGACTGATCCAGAATCACTTTTATTCTCTGTGAAGGGATTAAAAAACAAAAGGATCCACTTTAATTTCAGAATTCTGACTTTAGAGGTCAAAGTTGTTTTTT